TTGAGATGCCTCATGCGTTTGACGTCAAACGCTCCGAGTTCCTCGATTGGCCTCTAAATTCAATTCAGTTCGTTTGAGGCCACCATCTCCTACATATCTCTCTCTCGAAGTACACTGGAAATTAAAAATATTCTAATTATTCGAAATCGCAAAGAATACAACTTTCCTACATATATATATATGTGGGAGACAACAAGGGGTCCAAGACTTTTGTCTTTCTTATGGTTTATTTAACATTAAACAAAAATTAATTAAAAAGGTAGCTGGTTTAACAGATAAGTTTGACAATGATATGAAGAAGGTAACGCCTGCTCGCGCACCTCTCTCGTTCTCCTGCTCCTCTCTTTTAAGTCTTAAAGTTTTTTCAGTTTCAGTTCTACTTTCACTTAGCTGCGCCTGCGCGCGAAGACTGTGTTTTGCTTTTGGCTGCATGCCACAACGGCTATCCTGACTGTCCGCTGTCCGCAACGGTACGTCTTCCTTTTTTCCTTTCCATGGATACCAGAGGAGAATCAGAAACATACAAAAAAGACGGAACAGACAAGGACTATACGACAAATACACAAAGATTTAACATATCATAATTCTGCTGAACTAGACAGTTTCTCCATCATGTGAAGGCACCTCTTCGACATCCGGAAGGTTCCACAGGAAAACATTGTGTTTCACAGGCATAAGAACGTCTTTTTTAACAAGTTGATCTTTGGTTGAACGCATCGATATTTTCCTCTCTAGAGTTCTGGACGTCTGTTCAAAACGATTTCTCTTTTTCCTCCGTTTCCACTGCCAGGGCTCAAAGATTCTTCGGAGCATTGCAAACCGTCTATATTTACTCTTCATAGGTGAAGGGTTATCAGAACAAGATAAACGTCTGGTTCTCTGACACACAGAAATATCATTTTTCAATTTAATACACCTTTTTAACTTAGTACTCTTAATGTTATTGCATTTATAATTCTTAACTAGAGAACTCAAATCATTTCTAGTATTAAAGTTTTTAACATATGGCAAATCATAACTAGAGTGTTCTATCACATTTGAAACAGAAACAACATTAGGATAAGCATAAGCATGAGCACCTAAAGAGGATTCACTTTCATTCAATAAAACATCGCTCTTTGCGTGACCTAGTTTCTTTATTTCAGAATATACACTGGGATGTATAATAAATTCTTCGGTCAAGGTCGGTGATATCGCCGTTCGAACACTTAGACCGGGAGAGTGTTGATTAAGAGAAAGATTTATCGGTTTAACTTCTACCATACGCTGTTCGCCAAAACATGAACTTAATGTTATTATCTCTTCGGAAGGTGTTTGCACTCTAATTAGTGAGGAATTTAAAACTGGGATCTGGCAACCTGAATCAATCAAGGCTGTTACGGGCTGATGTTCCACAAAAATGCTTACGTATTGAAGATTTGAGAATTCATCGCTATTTTGTTTTTCGCTCTCGACTTTCAAAGTATTCACGTTTATTCTATTATGGATGTGGTCGTTAGATTCTTTAGGTTTAAAACGCTTCTCACAGTCTCTTGCGCAATGAGATGAATCACCGCATATATAGCAATTTTTATGTTCTCTTTCAAGATATTGGGGATAGTTCTCTTTAATCTTTGGTTTAAAGTTTTGTGATCTATTTTTAAAGGGGTCTTGGGTATATCCATAAGTAATAGGAATTTCTTTATGTGATCCGCTTCTAGATGAAATATAAATATCGCACTCTTCAGCTAAATCAATAGGCCTGAACCAATCTTCTGCTTCTCGAATGCCAATATGAGTTGCAGTTTCCTTATTTAAAGTTTCAAATAATTTATCAGAAATTCTAAGATCACATAGAGATTCAAAGGAATTAACTTTTCTTAACGAACAATAATATTGGAAGTTTGCCGTCAATCTTGCAGCAAATTGGATGTTTGTCTCGCCTGATGATTTTACAGCATTTTTAAATGAGTTTAAACACTCGCGAGGGGTTAATTGGAATTCTCTGAGTACTATAGATTTTAGTTTTCATAGTCATTTAATTCCTCTTCTTTAATATACAGTAAGACGTTATGAGCTCTTTCGCCCAGAAGATTTATTAAAATTTCAGATTTATATTCGTCATTTATTTTCTTGGTTAAAAATGCGCGTTCTAATGATTGGAAGAACAGATTAAAATTTTCAGATCTGGTGGGAACAGGAAGAGATAAAGTCCTAATACTTTTTATCATATTTTCTATGTTAGTTTCGAACTGTTTTTCTTCGACTTTAGCTGCAGGATTTAAACTTAATGCTTTATTTTTAGCCGTTTGAAGTTCGATTTCTTTTTCTAATTGCGCTAACTGAAGTTTCGCGAGCTCAATTTTCTGTTTTTCTAAAGTTACCTCTCTTTCGTTTCGCGATACTCTCTCATCTATACAGTTTTGAATTAAAGTTTTAACGAAATCTGGATCACTTTCAAATGTACTACTGTTCTCAATTTTAGTCTTTAGTTTAGCTATGGTGTCCGTACTCTCCACAGTACCGTCTAGATCCTCAACAACTCTTATGAGATCCTCTTTAAGAGCGTTTTTATACATTTTAGAAAAATATGGAAAGATCCTATCTTTTTTTTTCTGGCTCCCTTGTTGCTCGCACGTATGATGTATCCAATATTTTATGAAAACGTTGATTCCACTCTGTGTGTGTGATTTCACCTCTTCGCAGGTAATATAGTTGAAATTGTTCGAATTGACACCTCTTCGCAGGTGTTTGTGGTATTTCCAACCTCTACACAGGCGGAATTTTCGACGATGGGTTCCAACCTCTACACAGGCGGAATTTTCACGCTGGATTCAAATGAAGAATGCAACCTCTACACTGGATGAACGAAGTTTTCGAAAAATGGCGGCGCGTCTCCTCCACGGACGGCTTTTGTTCACGTTCCAAACTTTGATCAAAATCGAAATTTTTTTTTCAATCCCGGCCTCTACACAGGCGGAGTATTCATGCTGAGTTCAAACCTCTACACAGGTTGAACGAAGTTTCCAAAAAATGGCGGAGCATCTCCTTCACGGACGCTTTTGTTCATTGTCCAGACTTTGGTTCAAAATCGAAATTTTATCGATCGCGGCCGAGCCCCCATAATTTGTGGGAGACAACAAGGGGTCCAAGACTTTTGTCTTTCTTATGGTTTATTTAACATCAAACAAAAATTAATTAAAAAGGTAGCTGGTTTAACAGATAAGTTTGACGATGATATGCAGAAGGTAACGCCTGCTCGCGCACCTCTCTCGTTCTCCTTCTCCTCTCTTTTAAGTCTTAAAGTTTTTTCAGTTTCAGTTCTACTTTCACTTAGCTGCGCCTGCGCGCGAAGACTGTGTTTTGCTTTTGGCTGCATGCCACATATATATATATATATATATATATATATATATATATATATATATAAAGTGAGCTGTTTTGTTTATGTTAGTTGCCAAAATATAATTGTAATATTTAAGTGGATTTTTAATTTTTGAAAAAATGATTCGCGATGTTGCATTTTTCAACGTTTTTTAAGTCAGAAAATCGTATTTTATTGTAGAAAAGTTTTAATTTTTTTTAAATGGTATGAGCAATAATATTGTTTCTCTGTCAGCTGCCGTTTAAATGTTCAATGTATCAAGGTTTCTTCTGTACTACATTAAAATGTGCCTGTGCTGACATTATCATTACATAGTTAGCACATAGCACTGTATATTTTCATTAATAAAATATACTTGAATAATAACCATAATTGTAATCTATTGGTTTGGTTATGGCGTTAAAATATAAATACATCAGCATTGTATAATAAAATGAGGGAAGTTCAACGTGATCACCCAGCTGACAAAAGCTCCTTCTCATCTTAACTAGACTTTGTTTATTGGGAAATTTCTGGTTCAACAAATTCTCTGTTAAAATCTCTTCCAAGATTCTAAAATCATTTCTTCATTACCAAATTACTCTGAAAGATTTTCGGTAGAATTATAGAACACGTGCTCGCGTCGTAGGTACAACTTTTAATTACCATTAAAATATGCATAATTTACTTTTAAATTTTCCTTTGGCATACTCACCTCGTTAAGAGGCTCCTAAAAGAAAAAAATTCTTGTATGGTATTAAAAATTAAGTAAAATAAAATATTATTATAAATGTTACAGAAATATATTAGTTCCATGCCACTCTACCATAACTGCCAAACCACGTTTCTAAATTATTGAAGATTCATAGTTCACATAAATCATATTTTTTGATTAATAGTTCATCTTTCGACCTACTAACATTCTTCGCGCTCTTTCCTTAATTCTGGATACCCCAGCAATCTTTCTGTTTGACAGTATAGTGGCGCCATATTGACATGCACTTAATCTTCCGTTTTCAGTACATGCTAATTAAGCGTCAAAAATTACCGTCTTCAAGGAAGGAAGGGCATGTGATCTTTGGTAGAGGCCGAGGAAGATCTCGTAATACGGCGAGTTCTGAAGATATATTAAAAAGTTTAATTTGGTAAGAATATTCGGAATCTTTAATGCGCGTTCCAAAATAGTTCTGTGTTGTTTGCTTGTGTGAATGTATTTAAAATATTATTTTTTAAGTAAAATGTTTTCAACTACACATTTATCGTACGCTTAGGAAATAATTAGAGCCACATTGTGTTGAATATATTTTTTATAGGTAAAAACAGGAGTAAATTGACTTTTAAGGTTTTCCTTTATAGAACCCAGCTTTTATTTATAATTAATTTTGTCTAAAAAAGTAATCTAAAAAATTTTTTTAAGTCCATTCCTACTTAGGTCAATAAAGAAAATTTTTATTTTAGTTACTTTTTATTAAATAGTTACAATATAAATATGTATATACGTATTGCAGAATCACAATATTAAGATAAAATAGAAAACTATTTTTCTTTCCATATGCGGACTTTTTTGTTTGTTTGTTACTATTTATTCATTAATTAACTTTAATTATACTAATAAAATAGTATAGTAAAAAAGAAATCATTTTCTCAGAAATTAGGCCATCCCAGGTGGGATTCGTACCCACGACATTTGTATTAGAAGTTCAGCGCGCTATCCATTGCGTTACAGGGACACAACGAACGATTTTCCTTTCTATATATGCTCTGTTGGACTATTATTTTTTGTTACTATTTATTCATTTTTTCATTTAATAAATGAATCAATATTTAAAAAAACTGTATTAACATCAAGTGTCATCCACTACAAATTTAAAAAGATGTATTTGAACTTGAATGGATGAATAGAAAGGATTTTATTAACGATTGAAAATTTGAACAAGATATATATATATATATATATATATATATATATATATATATATATATATATATATATATATATAGGGAGAGAGTGAACTAATAGTAGGAATTTAAAAAGCGTTGCATTAACACTATAGAACTGTTGGTTATTAAAGAAAAATGTGTTCTGTGTTCAGTGGCGTAATGTACACTCCCGCAATCCCCGCGTTGCGGGTTGGCCCAAGGACTCTAGGGGTTCCAAAGCTTGACTGACACAAAGTACATATTTGTGCTTGGGGCCCCAAACCTGAGTTTGCAGGGGGCCCTAATATTCTTCGTTACGCCACTGGTACTGTTTATACTTTTTCTTAATTTAATGGTTTGATATAAGTTGTCTTGGTAATTGATCTAATTTTTATTCATTTTGTCGCTCTTCTATGATTTCGAAATTAAAAATGTATACATTTTAATAAATCATTTACTGTATAATACCGGAATATTTTAATAAAGGTCAGTACAAGTTGGAAACAGAATTCTACCCAAATTGTAATATATACCTCATAAACTTTATACCGAATAAAACATTCCCGTATATTAGAATTTCTTGAAATGCAACAGAGTATAGTTACGTATTGAAAGAAATATACGTTCTTCTGGTTTATTAAAGATATGAAGTTTTTAGCTGGATGTAGAATAGTTTTTTGATATTTCCCTGTGGATGCGCTTGAAATAACGTTTCCATAAATGATATATGCCTGCTTTTCTTTTAGAATTTATAACATTATTAGGTACTAAAAGGGACAAAAAACTTTAAAAGGAAGGTGGGTCTTTGCCTTAAATTAATTTTATACTGAACATCTTGAATACCTTTACAGTCTTTATTGAAAAATAAATTGCAAACATTATCTTGGTAATTTTTCTGAGAAATGCTGTTGTTTATGGCGAATTTTTATTATATAATAACTTGATATATAATGTTTAATGATTATTATTCATTGTAAATTAAATGATTCGATGACTTATGTAAATAAAAAAAAAATAAAGATTCACTTGAAATATTTAATAAAATGCTTTATTTTAATTTATTAAGCATGCTCACACACAAAGCTTATTTCTTCAATAAGAAAAAAAAATTCTCTCTGAAGAAGTTGAAATAAAAAAATAATTAAAAGGATAAATAATAAGAGGGCAGTGTGTTAGAGATATTCAATTAAATAAAGTGGATATTAATTTCCCTTCCTATATTCTTAAAGTAGTATTGACATTACAAAAATTCGAACGCTAATATTAGCTTTTAAAAAATATACTGGTTTTTTATCGTATTTTGCTGATAAATATGACTGTCATATTGCAATACAAAAATGACGGGGAATTATGAATTCTCCAGCATCGTTTCTTCCTAGGACCGTGGAAAAATGCAAGCTGTTGCCTCATGAATTTAACCGCTTTTCAAATAAAATTTAAAAATTCAATGCAGGATTTGGTATAATCTCGTCATCTTATTGTGGTTCTGAATTACGTGGATCTCCGTTAAGATATCAGAACTTTCAAGGTCATTGAAAATTCGATCAGATCCTAAGTAAATAAAAAATTTTAAGCGTTTTTATTTTTTAGATTGATTTATGTTAGAATGAATAAAAAGGTTTAGATGGAGGTGATATGGTTCAAATGAGTATTACACCAATCCTATGTAAACTTTTTCAGCGTGTCATCAGTGCTGTACTTACAGCTTTAATGATGCGATCTTTCTCTGCGAAACTTATTTTTGCAAACTGCTAATGAGCCATAATCTGTGAAAGTGGTGAAGGATATACACGTTGGACTCTGTAGCAATGATTTACAGAAAGGCCATCCCTCGAAAGTGTAACTCTCAGTTTTCCGTTCGCTATGTGTTGCCTCTATTACAACTTAAATAATTTAGTAGTGTTATAAACAATTTTAGAAAAAATGAGTTGCATATTTTGAGTTGAATAATTCAAACTTATGTGACAACTTTTGCAGATACGTTTGCATTGGGAGCAATCTGATTAACTTTTACTTGAAAATGTTGATTTATTCTATCCTTTATTCTATATTCATAAAAAAATTACAAATTTAGAATGTTTTGTTAAATGAATTTATTTTTCATTTCAAAGGTATAATTAAAATATCTTTTGGTGGATTTTATACTTTCGTATAATTTTAATTTACCTTTTCTAGAAAAAAATGATATAATGTTAGATTTGTATAAATAATAAATCATTTGCTATAATGTTAAACTGATAACTGTTTCTGTAACTGGAAATGGAATTTATGAAAAAGGATAATTGTACTGTTCGATTTTTGTCTTGGAGTAAGTAGTATGATTGAGTGATCTTTCATTTTGTTGCAGTTGGATTTGAAGAATAAAGGACGCGGTAAATAAAGTTAATAATGGAACTTTATTTAAAAAGAAGTTCAGGAAATATAAAGAAAAGTAGGCAGATAGTGACTTTTTTTTTGAAGCGCAAAGTATGCATTTTTTAGGGTCATAACTGTAATCTATTAAAGATTTTAAAGCAGGGGTACTCAACCTTTTTACTGCTGGGCCACATACATATCTCAGCTATTTCACGCGGACCGCATACATATGTTAGTTATTTCACGCGATTCGCAACATGAGGATAAATGGGGGAGGGGAGAAATGCTTTTAGACCAAGATAATATTGAAAATTTAAAAAGTGGAAAATTGATAAAAATATTATAACTCTTGTTTTGCATTTTATAATTATTGTTTTTTTTATTTTTGTCACTAACACTAAATTAGAAACATTTAAGAAACTCCTTCACAATTTCTGCATCAGTAAACGGTTTCATATGATTACCAATAATATAACAAGTTTCATAGGATATCTTTGTTACCACTGTGATATTACCACTGACAAGACACTTCATTGCTGTTGCAAAGATTATTCAAGAAAGCCTATTTATCCCCGCTTGAAAGAGATCTTCGAGGAAAAAGTCATTGAATGATTCCTGTTTATAGGTAATTTACAAATATAGCACTCTTTCGTGACAAATCGAACAATTACTGATCCATGTTTGTTTTTCACTACAAAATAGTCAACCTCCCAATCGTCTTGAAACGATTTATTTTTTTTCGAATACTTTTCGCTTTCAAGATATGAACGATAGTTAAAAATTAGTTACTCCGATAAAATTGTCGCTACAACATGATTGTCTGTTATCACTAACCGTAAGCTTTCCAACTAGAAAAGAATGTCAATTTCTAACCGTACGGCACCGACAGCAAAAGCAAAATTGACGTATGTGATTTTTTGGCAGAATTTCCTCCCAAATTTTTAATACAATGTCCTTAAATTCGTAAATTTCTCACAGCAATGGACGATGACCGGGCCACTTAAAAAGGCTCGGTGGGCCGCAGGTCGAGTATTGTTGGTCTAAATTGTTTCGCGTGCGCTTCAGCGTAATTGATTAGTCATACTCTCATCGATACTCTCTCTCTTTATTCATGCCTTACTTAGCGTAAACTTAAATTGAATGTTCAAATTGCTCCATCACCAGTAGATCTTGTACAGTTTTAGAGAAACTTCATTTCACAACAAGCTAATTCAACGAATACACTGCCTACCGAATTAAAAATATATTGTTACGGTAAATGTAGGCCTTGTTCGTCTCTGCTGAAAAAAAATATTGCAGCTAGAAAGATGGTTTGCAGGCAAATACAGAATGTTCCTTTAATGGGTTAGTTTCTGCGAAGGTCAATTGATCATGGTCGCAAACTCATAACTGGCGTTGCCAAATCTTGGGTTCGAATTCTGGTGTCACTGAAGAACTGGCGCTCAGAACTGACTCTGTTGAGAGTCAAAAATTGTCACGTTGACGTGGTGTGGAAGCTTGAAGAGTGGGGTGACTTTGTCACCGACCGAAGCTCAAAATTGTGAGTTACGTCCCTAGTAGCTTTCATGCAGCTGCTAAGAGTGTCGTGGATGAAAATAATAAAATCACATCCTTCAAATGAACTGAGAATCAAGGTTGACTTTGGCGATGAATTTAGTCACGAAATATCACTAATTTGCCAAATTTGGCGACACAATTAGAGGCCCTGAGATAAATTGAGAAGAGTCTTGGACGCGATTAGGTGATGTGATATCCCTATAAAAACTTCTAGAATGTTTTCACTGCAAATATAAAGACGATGCAGGGAAACAACATTGAATTATAGAAGTGTTGAAGTGTTTATAAATTTGATTACCATATTTGTATGAGTTTGAATTGCTGTATTGTGGATTTATACATATTAATCGTTTAATGTTAAAAGTAAATCTGCTGGTTCCAGAATCAAATTCGATTTACTCCGAAAATACCTGCTTCTTGTTTGCGCGAATTTTATCTTCTTATGAATGTCATTGAACCACGTTACTAATATATAATCATAGTTCTTATGCTATATAATATTATATACTTTGATATATACATTAATGTATTGATCTACATTTGAAAGTAATTGCTTACTTCGTATTTTATCTAATTTTTAAGTTCTTCAAATACAATAGTTAGGACTTCAATTGCAAAAAAAAATCTATTCTTGAATTAAAATAAAGGGTGTTTTTTTTAGAGGTATAGAACTTTAAATTGCAATAAAACAACGATGTATTATTCGAATTACATGAATTTTTTTTATTCAAAAGATAATCTTGTGGCATTACATTTTAAATATGATTTCTGGCATAGGACTGCCGCGGCTGGCTCGGATGTAGTCTAATCTAGACGGCCAATTTTCGATGACTTTTTCCAACATTTGTGGCCGTATATCGGCAATAACACGGCGAATGTTGTCTTCCAAATGGTCAAG